TCCTTGAATTAAAAAGATAAATGAAATATCACTCCCTTGTGGTCTTCAAGTGCTAGTCTAAGGCTCAAGCCTCCTCCATGCTCCTCCCAAGTTGTCTCCCTAATAAGCTTAAATTGTCATCAAAATGTGTCTTCCTCCAAAATTGTTAGATGTCATAGCCATGAATTGATTGAAAGTGATGGTGAGGTGTAGATAAGAGTTGTGTGTGTAGTGAGAAAGGGGAGGAGATTGATTGAATGAGATGATGGAATATGGTGAGAATAGTTGGGTGAATGTGGAATGGAATCAATAAATGGTGAGAGACGGCAATTCTTCAATTGACTCGAGGAATAGTGGTTTTTGAAATCAAAGGACGTGATTTAAGGTGTATGTTGGAACCGCAAGGCGAAGCTTGTTTTTGGCGAAAGGGAAACTTTTTCAGATAGGTGGCGGCTCCCATATTCAATAGGAGGAGAGGGATATTTTTTTATCTAAAGCTCAAACCTATTAGTAATTAATTGACCAACTTGATATTAGCTATTAAATTGTGTTTAAATTCTAGAAACAATCTTGTACCATTGGATTTCCTATATGCTCTTTCTTGACTTATAAGAATTTAAGTACATCCATTAATGTAGATTATATCCAAATATAATATAATCTATATCAAAAATTAAATATTAGATATGCACAAAAATTAGGCAAGAAATTACAAAATTTTCCAAAAATAATCTTTCTAAAAATATGAGACTTGTTTTCAAAGAAATAGGAAAATTAATTCCAAGTCAAAAATAAGAAATCATAAAAAATATGTTTTCAATCCAAAATCTCAATTTTTATGAAAAATCCAAAAATCAACCAATTAATTCAATGAAACCTAAAAATCCAACTAAACTCAAAACCTATCATTTAAATCTTTGATTAATGTGAGATAAATTATACAAAAATTGGACCTTATCACTTCTGCAATTTACTACCGGCTATATAGTACTTATAAGTGATCTATCATACATATTTACATGAAAATTTTAAGGAAAATGATCATTTAGTAATTTATTCATATATTTATTACTGATTTTCGGTTCTTTTTTGAGATTTTCAAATTTTTTATCGTAATCTAAAATCAAATTAATGGCAAGAAGAACATTTTTTTTTAATTTGAAGAAGATTTGGTAGAGTTTTTCACTATTTTCTATCCCTAGAACCTCTCTTGGAATTCCATGAATTTGTTGAGAGCTTCTCTCTCTTTCCTTCGTCATATCATCAACATATCACTTAATTATTAATATCAGTAGTTATTCATTTATATCATTATTGAGTTGTTTTTTTTGTCTGACTTATATTATCGAGAAGGGTATCATTTAAACTCTATTCACTATTAACAAAAAATAATCAATATTATTAGAATATTTTGTCCAAATATTTAATTGTAATCATTAACCTTACTTTTCAAGATTAAATTGACTTTCCATTTTAATCTTTCAATTTTATCCTTGAGATCAATTTTTTCCTCTCACTTTTGGCCTTGGATGTCACACTATTTGCCAACTTCGTCACTTATCCATTTTAACCAAGATTATTTCAAGTTAAATATATTTGCTTTAGTTAATCATAGTCACTTTCTTCCCATCAAAAAAAAAAAAAATCAGTCACTTTCACTAACGATAATTATTTTTGGCTAAACATGGTTATTTCTTTCCAACCATTGTTAGTTTTACTAACATAAGTTTATTTTTAACTTTGGTTAACTCGATCTACTTATCTTACCAAGGTTAATTTTCTTTAACCATGGTAAATAATCTAACTACCATTTTCTGCCTTATTGGGCCTACTATTATTCTCTCAATTTAGTTGGGCTTTTGGCAAAATAAAATAAAATTAAAAAAATCAAATCCTATTTGCAATGAACGTGAATAGGATTGTCAGCTAATGACACTCAAAAGATATATATTAGCTGGAGAAGTTGATTGCTCGGCGTTGCCGAAAAATATTCAAAATATATTAATTAAAAAAATTATAAAAATATTATTATCCCTGGTTTTTAATATAAGAGTTAGTTTAATTTTTAATTTAGTCCTAAATATAAAACCTCAATCTACTTTGTTTATCATATTTATCGATTTTTTCAAAATGATTATTGTAATAGTTACACATGTTAAATATTCTGTCAATTGGTAGTTCTAGCTAATATACATACGATTAGTTAGCAAGGATATTTTAGAAAAGTCAACTCATATTTGTTACAGATAACTAACTTAAAAAGTTTTCTTAATCTACTTAAATTAATCAGCTAATTTTTAGATTAAGAACCAGATGTAGTAATATTTTTATCCATGTAAGCTTTTAGTTTGATTTACAAATAATTTGTGGAAATTAATTTGCGAAGATCCCCCCCGGGGGAATCGATGGCTTTGACATAGTCCCCACAATAACGGTAGAGTTCTCATATGATCTTTACTACATGTCTTCATCTCTCTTTTCAGTTTTCAAAATTTTTCACTGGTTATTACTTATAATTAAGAAAATAATTTAAAATACTACCTCTAGTCTATGATATAAGTAACAGTTGACTAATTTGAATAAATTAAAAAAATTAGTTAAGTTAGTTATTTGTGATAAATGTGTATTATTTTTCATAAAATACCATTTCTAATTACGTGTATTAATTAAAACTATCATTTCATATATTTAATTTTAAGAATTTTAATGAGATGACTAGTTTTTTCATGATTTTGATAAAAACAATTACTCCGTTCTTTATTATGAGGCAAGTGGAAATAAATGAGAAGTTAATCAAATTACTAATTTTGTCTAAAATTCAAATAATTTGCCTATATTTAAATAGAAAATTGTTTTATATATATTACATTCTCTTTCATGATTAATAACTTTATAGAGACGACAGATATTGAACAAACTTAATTAACCACCACCTATTCCCCCTTTAAAAAGGTGCTGAAGTACATATCAAGAGAAAAAGACATCAAAATTGTTAGTGCGGCCCAACTCATCCCTCTTTTCATTCTCTTATATTGCATTAAAGGATCTTTCATTCAAGGACAGCAATTCTGTTGGACACTCTACCTTATTGTGTTAAAGTCAAAGAATGTTTACAAAAATGCTTATAGGATTATCCACCAACAAGATCTTCATATTGATAGCAAAATTTGAACTTACGATTTTGTAGGTTATGAGTCAACTCCCTATTAACTCGACCAGTTTTATAATTTGATTGGTTTGAATTGGGCATCACACATCAACTTGTTAAAACCGTTACTCCCTGGACTGATAACACTGTTAATGTTAACTGAGATGGTTGACATATTTATGATTGACGGCTAACTATGCATACATACTAATCCCCATAAGCTGCGAGGACTTTTCTCCATGTTCATGCAGAATAAAAAAGAAACAAACAAACCAAACCAAATTAACCTATATATAGGGACGAAATTTAAAATCGATGTAAAGTATGAGGACTTAAATATTACTTTTCTTTAAATTTAAACCACCATACATATACGAGCTTTTGAAAAAGCAACGTTATTGATTCCGGGAGATACAAGAGCTTTAGCCCAACCACTTTTCTTGTGGTCCCAAAGGAATCATATTTTTTTCCAAACTTTTATTACTATGCGAATCAAAACAAGAATTTGAGACCAGCATACATTATAAACTGGGAATATCCGGCATATATAAGAAAGATTCCCAGATGACAAAAGGTGTTTCAAAGGAAAACTACTTGTATGAAAGCCAGTTAGATCACCAATTTCCTGTTTTAACGTCATCCTTAAACCACTCAAGAGAATAACGGTTGGGATTTATGAGGATTAGTAGTCAAACCTGAAAAGGACTCCATTGAAACTTCAACTAAATCAACAAGTCATTTGTTCTTGCTTGAGTTGAGATTATTATAATTGTTTTAAGCAAGGATAATAATTTTGTATTTCAAAAGATGCTCCATTATTGTCAAATTAAATTACAACACAATGGGCATTAAGTATTATAAAACATACTTGAAGTTAACTTGCCCTTAATTTGTCGCTTTGGGGTTACTTCAAAAATTAACCGAATTAATGCAATATAGTGCACAATCCAGGTCGTATTCACTTTGAGGAGCCGAAAATGAAATTAAATCATAGTAAATAAATGCAAGTAACCTAAACCATGGTTATCAAAATGAGATACGAATCGTGAATCGAAAAGCCGATTTTTTGAATCTTGAATCGTAACGTATCGTGAATCGTAAGATTCATGAATAACTATTAAGGATGATATATAAGTAATTTTTGTATAAAAAGATATCAAAAGTTTGTAAATATTAGTTATTTTAGACTCTAAAAAAAAATATAAAAACCAACATATGAAATTCTAAAGACAAATAGTCCTCAAAATCAATTCACAAAATCAAAATCCTAGCTTAAAAAGACTAAAATCACTGAACATAAAATTCAATTCCTCATTCATCATCTCCAAGATCAATGTCACTCAATTCATGATCATCCTCCATTAACAATGTCACTTCTTCATCATCCTCCTCTTCCCCATCTTCAGCATCATCTTCATTCTCATTCTCTTGTCTTACTATAGATTTTCCTTTGTTATTGGCTTTGGCATTCAAGTTTCTTGGACCTATGGGAAAAAAAACTTAATAAGTATGATGGTATATATTTAAACTAAAAATTAACTTAAGTTTAGCTTTGAAATATTATACCTCTCTTTCTTTTTTACTTGGAGCTCCTTCATCAAGAGTAAAACTCTCATGTATGTCCATCCATGACCCGTCCACTGGCAAGCATGGATTTTCTTTTTCAGTGATCCACTCATCATCAGATTCAATATCTGATAAACAGATTGGATCATATGTCTCTCCTTTTTCCTCTCTAATCTTTTGTCTCATCTCAAGTTGAAGGTTGTACTTGACAAATACAAGTGCATTTAACCTTTGTTGTTCTAAACGATTTCTTCGCTTAGTATGCACTTGATCAAATGTGCTCCAATTTCTTTCACATCCAGTAGCACTACACGTGAGACTCAAAATCCTCATAGCTATCTTTTGCAACTCCTTGCCCTCTCCTCCATAACTTTCCCACCAAAGAGCTAAAAAAGGATACAATAATGAGAAATGATTTCAAAAATTCATATTTATTATTAAGATTAAAAATTACAGTCTTCTAAATAGAATAGACTATAGACTAGAGAATGGTACCAGGTTGCTTTTTGTTTCTAGTATCTATTGCCATGCTCCTTCCAAAAAGCCCCTTAGCAGACTTAAATGCTTCAAGTTGTTGATCAACTAAAAATCTTGTCTTTCTATCCAGAATCATTCTCTCAATAGTTTCATATAAACCAAAATAAACTTCCTGGTCCGCATTAAATTTTTCATCATAATGAAACCTACGAAAATAACAAATAAGTTATGTTTTTCTAAGTTCTAACATACAATTAAACAATAATATTTAAATTTTAAAGTGTATAAAACTTACTTAGGATTAAGAAAGTAGGCAACCGCATGGAGGGGTCTATGTAATTGCAAAGTCCAACGAATATCAATGATCTTCCATATTTTTTTATACCTTGATTCCTTCTTTTCAAAATTGTCAGCAATCTCTTCTTTGGCTCTATCCATTGCTTCATAAATATATGGCATAGCAGGTTTAGAGTCACCATCTACAAGTCTTAAAACTTTTACAAGTGGACTCACACACTTTAAGCAATATTTGATGGAACTCCAAAATCTAGAATCCCCAAAAACCATGTCCACCACTTGCTTGCCCTCACTTTTACTAGCAAAAGTACTAGAAATCCAATAATTGAAGCAAACATGGTTCAAAGAGCATTTTTTTGTTGCAATATACAACTTAGTGTAAGATAAGCTGTTGCAAACCTTGTCACTGCCGGTCTAGCTAATTCTTTTACTTTAGAATACTTTCTATACAAGTTAAGGACCCATGTATGCCTATAAATGAAGGTTGTTATTTTCTTTGCATTGGTGATGGTATTATAAAATACTGGAAGTTGCCCAATGTCTTCAAGGATTAAATCAAGACAGTGTCTGCACAAGGGGACCAAAATAATTTTGTTCTCTTCTCTTCTAACATCTTCCCTGCTGCCACGAGATTTGACACACCATCTGTCACAACTTGCACCACATTATCCTCCCCAATTTCCTCAACCAAATTGTCTAGTAATTCAAACATTTGTTTAGCATCCTTAATCACACTACTTGTATCCACTGACTTTAGAAAAACTGTTCCACTAGGACTGTTAACTAAAAAATTAGTAAGAGACCTTCCTTTACCATCAGTCCAACCATCACATATCAAGGTACAACCCCATTTCTCCCATTCCTTCTTATACTTTGCTAAACTTTCTTGAATTTTATCAACTGCTTTTTTCAAGTGAGAAACTCTCACCTCATGATAACTTGGAGGTTTCAAACCCCTACCATATTCACCAACAGATTTTAACATTTGAATGAATAGTGGACTTCTCACCAAATTAAATGATAAAGCATTACCATAGATGCATTTACAAATATCTTGAATTACTAACTCTCTATCTTTTACCATCTCATTCATTGTTTTCTGTTTGGTAGTTTTTGATGTCCCTTCCTTCCCCTTAGCATCTTGAGCAGTTGCCTCTTCAAATACTTCAACACTACTGGCATCTTTACTTTTTTCTCTATTTTCTAACATTTTAACAAACAACTTTTTCACTTCATCAGGAACACTTGTACAAGGACTCACATTCTCTCTAGTTCCAGCCAAATGATGTTTCATCCTAGCTACCCCACCCCAACATTGATGTGAACAGTATTTGCATTTAACCATAAGTCTATGGGGAGGAACACTTTCAAAGTGATTCCATGTAATATCAGCTTCCTTTTTTTTCTTATTCTGATTCTGACTCATTTTTCCTACCTTCACAAATATAATATCCAATAGAAGCAAAAAAGAAGCAGGAAAAAATTACTAAATAGGAGTAGAATGGACCCCAATCAACCAGCAAGTCAGCAACAGTATAGAGTGGACCACTGCCTTCAATTTTTATAACTTTTTGACCAAAAAGGACCAGTAGAAGAGGAGAAAAAATGCAACCGTGGGGCACAAGATACAGAACGTGAAGAACAGAGCAGATGGGAATAAAAAAATAGGGTTTCACATGCTTATAATTCAATTTGCAGCAGTTTCTCCCTTTAAATAACAAAAAAATCGGAAAAAAAAACAAAAAAAGGGGGTATTATCATGTCGGGTCGCGCACAGATACGGGTCGAATCCGTGCGACCCAACAGAGCCCAGAATCGTGCGATCCACCGACGTCGCACGATTGCGACGTGAATCGCGCGATTCAGATGGCAAAGGGATACACTGGGAGATTCGTATCTCCCAGTGTGCAATCTGTAGCATATCGTGCGATTCGAATCTCGAATCGCATGATACTAATAACCATGACCTAAACTATAAAAAAGGATTTTTGATTTGATAATTGTTAAGTAAACAACTTGAATTAAATTAAAATTAAAATACTTTTTTTTGTTTTTATATAAAAATGATTAACATGAATGAAGATTAAAGAAATGAAAATGAGACACACAAATAACAATAATAATAATCAATCCTCCAATTCAACAATATAGGCAATCATCACTCTAAAAGATGTGGGAGTTAAAACAATGAATTAAGAATTATAATTAAGCTTGTAATCCAACAACCGAGCCACCTCGAGTTGCCACAAAATATTTTCCTAAAATCCCAACTTACTAACTGCAACCAGAATAGTAAAATGGGATTAAGGATGCTAAAAACCAATGCTTAATTAGAACTCTTAAATCCAAAATAACAGAATTAAAGCTAGCAAGAGACAAGATGATCCAAAATTCCAAGCCACCTCAGAAAATCACAATATATTAACTCCAAATCAATACAAATGTCATAACCACAACATTATAATTGAAATTAAAGTTATAAACAGCCCAATGTCACATGCTAAGCAATAATTCAGTTACAATAATCTCCAAATATAATCAGATTAAGCAATACAATTATCCCAACAATCAGAAAAACTATCCTAAGACCTAGGAATTGTTAAACAATTATTGAGTAAGAAATTAAAGCAACTAAAACTCCCTTTTGAAGATCCAAGCTCCTGCCATTCTTGTTGAATTGGAAGATTATACAACCTTAGCCCCGGATTGCCACGAGGAATGCCATATTCAGAATTCTACCATATCCAGCCATGAAGAATATCGAAGAAAGAGTGAAGAAAACTGTCAAGCTTCTCTGGTTCTCCTTCAAGTCGTCACTCCCTTGATCCTCTGATTTTGTCGCAACGCAGAGAGGGAGAAGATGATCGCCGTCAACCTCTGCCTCTCTCCCTCTCTTCCGCTCGTCCACACCGCCGCTCTGTTCTCTCTTTTATTTCGTCATGTTCTCTTGCTGCCATTGCTGATCTGTCTTCCACCAGGCAGGTTCAACGGAGAAGAATGAGGAATGCTCCTTGGACTTGCGCCGTCAGCCCTCTGCTCGCTGGTTCGTGCGTGCCCCTCCTCTGTTTTACTACCAGGTCCCTCGCGCCGTCCCAGCTCATTTAGCGTCCCCCTCCAGCTTCTCCTGATGAAGATGATAATAATGGATATTAGGGGTGGAGCAAAACACTACTTTTATTTTTTTTTCTTTTTTTTTAATTTATTTTTTTCTTTTCTTTTTTATTTATTTATTTTATTTATTTTTTATTTTTTTATTTTCTTAATCTTCCAAAAGCCTGCAAGCAAAAATTCAAAGATAAGGTAGCATTAATTGTCCTCAAAAATCAATTAGTCACAATTAAACCGAAATATGACAATTTTGCCCCTATAAAATAATAATTCAAAATAAAACATATTAAATCAATTAATCAATCAATTAAGGTCAAAAGGGACTAATTAAGTCGACAAAACCCATATAAAAGATATCAAAATATATAAAAATAATTGAGTTTATCAACTCCCCCACACTTAGCCTTTTGCACTCCTGGGGAAAACATCATTAAAGAAGAATCCAATAGAGAGACTCAATGCAAGCAACCATAAGATCGACTAAGTATGAATGTGCAATTAACTCAAGCAACCTTTATTCCTAATCAATCAACAATTGTAGAATATTTCAATGCAAAGAAATTAACACTTGAAACATAGCAGGATAAAGGGAGAGAAACATAATAGAGCTCACATAGGGTACAAGTGTTTCACTCATCTCTCAAATGGGGAAAAATTTCACTCAATTCACCTAGATTAGCACCTACCATAAGCTTGTAGATATTCTAATATCTCCACCGCTAGCATACCTTAGACCCATGATCAAGAGGACTTGAAGGGTTGTAATGTCGAAAAACAAGGCCAAATGAATGAATGGACTAACAAGTGAAATGCATGAGTAATAAAGTATCAACTCAAAGTGAGCTAAAGTACAATCATAAAACAACACCAATGTGCAGATTTTAACCTTTTGAGACAAAAATCCTTGCTCTTCAAACCACCATGGAATGCCTTATTTCAAATTTATTCTTTTGTTACAACTTATTTTCTCTCTCTGTTTTTTTTAATAACTTTCTTTCTTTGGCTTTTTCTAAACATTTTCTTCTCTTTCTTGCCTTTTTCTATCTCTCTTTTTTTTTGCTTTTTTTTTTCTTTTTCTTTGGCATCCAAACCTAAGAAGGCAAAGATATAGACATTAATGATATACTTTTCAAAATGAAAAACCAAATATAACTCATGCAAAACACTTGCTAAAAAAATGAATGGAATGAAAGTGAAGGCTCAAAGGGGTGAACAAAGGTTAAATGAAGTGGTTTGTGTTTGGGTAAAGGTTTAGAAATGAATGCCTCTATCATCTTCACAAATCTAGGTATTAGTGCAACTTTGAAAAAGAATCTAGACAAGTTCCAGAGGTTAACCAAAACTAGGTGAAAATCACACAAGATGAGAAAATATATGGCTCAACAATCCTTCCATCAAGGCTTTTCTCCAAGATGTTTCCTCTTTAAGGATCAAGCTATGAAACAAGGTTAATAACACTGCACTAAAAGCATTCTACTATGCTAATCAACTAAGAACAGAAATCACTCAATTCAAATGCAATCAAACTCAGCCGTGCAATATTCACAAGCATTGTGCAAAAGGATTTTAAAAGAGATGCCCAAGGATTACAAAAGTCAAAATTCAACAATAGAGAGAAACAGCAACTCGCCCATACAGCAGTGTAGAACACTAAGGCGAATGAAAACAGGAGGACATAGAAACTAGCAGCAAAATTCCCAAGCAAGAATCACTCTCAAATCATGCGATGCAATTCAAAAATCAACCAATAAGGCAAAGAAGAGAGCAACTATAATAGCAATACTTAGGAAACAGGAACAAATCCAAAGGAAAAAAAAATTTCCAAAACAGCTCAACTCAACAACAATCTCTCCCCCACACTTAAATTTTGCATTGTCCTCAATGCAAAATCCAAGGACAAGGTAATGACAAGAGAGAATAAGTGAGGAAAGAGACAACCTTGTGCTTAAAGCGCCTTAGACTCTTAAAAGAGAAATTCTCATCAATAATGAGAAACATGAAATTTAGCAAAAAGGATTGCTCTTCATGATTGCACTTTCTTGGTGGTGGCTCAGGGTCAATTGAAAGAGGTCCAAGAGCATATGGTGGAGTTTGGTGTTGAGGAGATCCCTTCCAATTATGTGCCTGCATAGAAAACAAGCTAGCAGCAATACCAAATCCAACAATATAAACTTCGAGTGATTTCAAATAAAGTAAAGACATTTTATGATCTAGGCTCTTCAAGTAGCTACAGCATCCAAGAAAGTCAATGATACTCCCATCAGTAGGAGTCAAACAATCATTTAAAGTTTCAAAACACTTAGGTTCATGTGACGTGGAAACTTAAGAATCCAACTGACAGTTATTGGAGTACAGCACATCACTATCACATTCACAAGAGGTGGGAGGTAAAAGGGTGGACGCAGAAGAAGATTCATGTAAATTGTGATCATGCAATAAAATAGTACTATTTACACAACTAGCTAAGTCAGGAGGTAAGTCACAAGACAAAATTTGTTGAAAAGACTCATCTACATGCATAATTTTGTCAGTCAAAATTTCAGAGTCTTTCTCAACAACACTAGAAGCTACTAACTCAAAGGAATTATCATGCAACTGGTTCTCAAGGCAATGATTATTCTCACATTTGTCATCAATAATTGCACTTAAGATTTAGCAACCTTAATGTTCTCATACTTATCAATAACAGCACTTTCAATACTAGGAAGAGAAACATGGTTGGCATGTGAATCATCACACAAAACAGCATCTTCATCCAAATCACTACCACTAAGAGCAACAAGATGAGTATTAGCATGTTCAAAAACATGAGGGGATTCACAGACAATTTCTTCATCCATCTCATCATCACTCATATTATCAAAAGCTTCAACAGGAATAGTAGTTATAGCACAAGGGTCAATCTCCTCAAGAAGAGGATCAATATTACCTGATGTAGAGCACAAGTCCTTATGAGTTTGTAGATGCTCATGCTTCATTTCAGCTTCTTGTATGAGTAAATCTGGGCACTTTGGTTCATCCTTCCCATTCTCATATTCAATTTGAGCTATATCACTCAAGATTTTCTTTAATGCACTCTTGCATTCTCCTAACTCTTCCTCTGATTCCTTTGAGAGTCCAGATATCTGTGCTTCTTCAAGTAATCCATGGTAGTATGAATTTAAGCGGTCATAAGCTTCTCTTAAAAATTGTATCTGGTCCTTCTTAGGAATAGTAAGAAATGAGTCAGGTTCATTGAATTGATGTCCATGAGATTGGGGGAGAGAATGGTACTTGGATTGGGACGAGGGTTGATGGTAGTATTCAAATGGAAAAGGAGGTGGTTCTTGGTGGTGTGCATATGCTAGAGATATATGATTAAAGTATGGTTGGTGAGGTTGGAGTGATGGGTTAGGTGATTGATGTGGAGGATGGTTCATCCAAGAAGGGTCATGGGTATAGATGTGGTTAGGCATTTGAGACTCTAGCTGAGCTTAGAAGGAGTCCAACTGTTGTAACAACTCTTCAATCTCTTGAGAACATGTTGAATTAGAAGGTGCTTCATTCCATGTACTATTTCCTGCAAAAGAGTGAGAGTGCGAGGGTAGATCATGATTGCTATTAAACCAAGCCATGAGTCACACAATCAATTCCTAACAAGAGCCAATCTAAAGAAACTCAAAAAAATCCTAAAAAGCTAGAAAAATCAAAAAAATAAAACAAAAACACACAAACAGAAAAATCTGAAAAAATTCCAGAAAAGAAAGAAAATTAGAAAAAGTAGGGAAAGCGTTTGAATTTGGCCAAAATTTGCTAGGGCTAATAGTATAGCTATTAGTCTTGCTTAAAATGCCCAAAATCTTTAGAATACCAATTTTCAGAATTTTCTAGGCGAGAAAAAAATTTTAGTTCCAACAAACTGAATTTTTTTTTGAAAACTCAGATTTCTACAAAATTTTGGATGTAGATCCAACATTATGATGCAAAGACATGCAAGTGTCTATATCTATATGCAAAAAAAAACAAGATATTTGGTTGTATTTTTGAAAAATTTTGATGCAAATGAAAGAAAAGCAATGAAAAATCAAAAGAAGCAAATGCAAACTACTAAAGAAAATGCAAAAAATAACAAAAATAAAAACTAAAAAGGCTCAACAATTGAACCCCAATCAAGGCTACTTGACACTTAATTACTAGGGAACCAATTTCTTGACTCTCCGGCAACGGCGCCATTTGAACTTAACTTGCCCTTAATTTGTCGCTTTGGGGTTACTCTAAAAATTAACCGAATTAATGTAAGATAGTGCACAATCTGGGTCGTATTCACTTTGAGGAGCCAAAAATGAAATTAAATCCTAGTAAATAAATGCAAGTAACCTAAACTATAAAAAAGGATTTTTGATTTGATAATTGTTAAGTAAACACCTTGAATTAAATTAAAATTAAAATACTTTTTTTTGTTTTTATATAAAAATGATTAACATGAATGAAGATTAAAAAAATGAAAATGAAACACACAAATAACAATAATAATAATCAATCCTCCAATTCAACAATATAGGCAATCATCACTCTAAAAGATGTGGGAGTTAAAACAATGAATTAAGAATTATAATTAAGCTTGTAATCCAACAACCGAGCCACCTCGAGTTGCCACAAAATATTTTCCTAAAATCCCAACTTACTAACTGCAACCAGAATAGTAAAATGGGATTAAGGATGCTAAAAACCAATGCTTAATTAGAACTCTTAAATCCAAAATAACAGAATTAAAGCTAGCAAGAGACAAGATGATCCAAAATTCCAAGCCACCTCAGAAAATCACAATATATTAACTCCAAATCAATACAAATGTCATAACCACAACATTATAATTGAAATTAAAGTTATAAACAGCCCAATGTCACATGCTAAGCAATAATTCAGTTACAATAATCTCCAAATATAATCAGATTAAGCAATACAATTATCCCAACAATCAGAAAAACTATCCTAAGACCTAGGAATTGTTAAACAATTATTGAGTAAGAAATTAAAGCAACTAAAACTCCCTTTTGAAGATCCAAGCTCCTGCCATTCTTGTTGAATTGGAAGATTATACAACCTTAGCCCGGATTGCCACGAGGAATGCCATATTCAGAATTCTACCATATCCAGCCATGAAGAATATCGAAGAAAGAGTGAAGAAAACTGTCAAGCTTCTCTGGTTCTCCTTCAAGTCGTCACTCCCTTGATCCTCTGATTTTGTCGCAACGCAGAGAGGGAGAAGATGATCGCCGTCAACCTCTGCCTCTCTCCCTCTCTTCCGCTCGTCCACACCGCCGCTCTGTTCTCTCTTTTATTTCGTCATGTTCTCTTGCTGCCATTGCTGATCTGTCTTCCACCAGGCAGGTTCAACGGAGAAGAATGAGGAATGCTCCTTGGACTTGCGCCGTCAGCCCTCTGCTCGCTGGTTCGTGCGTACGCCTCCTCTGTTTTACTACTAGGTCCCTCGCGCCGTCCCAGCTCATTTAGCGTCCCCCTCCAGCTTCTCTGGATGAAGATGATAATAATGGATATTAGGGTTGTGGAGCAAAACGCAGCGTTTTGCTCCCTCCTTTTATTATTTTTTCTTTTTTTAATTTATTTTTTTCTTTTCTTTTTTTATTTATTTTATTTATTTTTATTATTTTATTTTCTTAATCTTCCAAAAACCTACAAGTAAAAATTCAAAGATAAGGTCGCATTAATTGTCCTCAAAAATCAATTAGTCACAATTAAACCGAAATATGACAATTTTGCCCCTATAAAATAATAATTCAAAATAAAACATATTAAATCAATTAAGGTGAAAAGGGACTAATTAAGTTGACAAAACCCATATAAAAGATATCAAAATATATAAAAATAATTGAGTTTGTCAATACTCCTCTCGTCCTTAATGTACGTAAGACCTAATTTTAGAGTTGATGTTAGTTCTATATATAAAATATATTTTATATGTTTATCAATTTTTTTTTCAAATTAACCTTATTGATATTTCTTCAACAATAATCAAGTAGAAAAGATAGAGAGAAAGTTAAGAAAAATAATTAGTATGTTTTAGAAAAAAATATCATATTAACTAACTTAACTAACATTCTTAATCTAATCAAATTAATTAATTAGGTATTACATTAAAACCGGAGGAGTGTAAAAATATTTGATATATTTTGATATGTTCAATATCATATATATTCATTAATTACACAAAAAAGAAAATAAATTATTTTTTCAAATATTATCATTAAATAAATTAATGTTCCAAAAGTGTAGTAATAATATTATTTCATATTTACTAATTCACTGCATCATATGAGTAAAAAGGATGGGTCTCATACAACGACTAGTTCTCCCTAGGGAGAACACCTAGTCATCCACCCACCTTACTTGATAATTAATATACACTCCTCCGGTTTTAAATATAACACCCTTTTTGTAGTGTAATTTACACTACAAAAGGCGTCTTATATTGGGAGGAATATATATTTATATAAGACTTACAATTTGACTTACAAGCACTTCCAAAATGAAAATTCACCCCACCAAACGTAATTCTTAGATCTGCCACTGAATACCAGAACCAACTAATAAAAAGCTCTTTTACACTTTGAGATAAAATTTCTCTCATATATTTACCTTGCATAACGTAAAATAACTCAAAATAAGCTAATTCGAACACCACCAAGCAAATGATCCAACTCTTTGGCAAACCTCTCCATGCATTCAAGTGGCAAGCAAACAAGCCCCACCCTACCTTCCTCTCCTTTACAATTTCTGTGTCCAATGTAGAAAGTTACTCCTGGAAATGTTTGAACTCCACTCTTTGCAGGACCAGCATATACTGCCTTGCCCCACCCAAAGTCAACATCTCTGAATCCAAGTCTGCTCAAATCTGATACCATACATGATCTTACTGTTAAAAAACATGTCGGTCGTCTAGTGGCTACCAAATCAATCACAGAGTGAAAATACTCATCATTCACTTCAGCCTTTGCTTTCTTCACTAACTCCAAAGCATACCTTAATGGACTCTCACAAAGCTCACCAACAGTTGAAACTGCAGCAGGAAACACAGAAGCATTGCCATAATAACCTTTTGGTAATGGAGGATTTAGTCTGTTATGTCCAAAACGTGCATTGACGACCACCATCATGCGAGCATCTTTGTGTGGATCTAGTTGTAAAGCTCTTGTTCGACAAAGCCAAAGGCATGCTGTAACAACCTCAAATGATGAGGAGGATTGACGAAGGTGGTCGGGGAGTAATCTACGGAGGGAAGAAATCTCAGTTGGTCCGAAGAAGAAAGATCGAAGAACAATGTTTGTGTAGGGTTTTGTCGTGGTTTCGATTCCTTCTTCATCGTACTCATGATGAGTGCAAGTAACACGTGGTGGGTCTCTCGCATTTAGAAGTTCTCTATGCCACACTGGTTGAATGGAGGGTTCAGATGCGCCTTTAGCTAATTCAGCAAGGGCGTTCATGAATTGGACTATACCATATCCATCACATAGACAATGATTCATGCGAAGAGCAAAGATGAAACCACCACACTTCAGGCGTGTCACCTACAATTCATAAATGTATGTCAAGAATTTGTGAAGTATAAAGAAATGATTAAAAAAGGAAAATTAACATGCAAGTTCCTATAAATTCTTCATCTTATTCAATATTAAATACTTGTATTTTTTTTTTCCTTTTTGTTGGTCATTATAACTTTCTCAATTATAGGTATTGATCCCTATACTTATAGTACTTTGTTAATTTGTAAGAGAAATAACTATAGTAGTTGATTATGTGACCCTCCCCCAACATATATCTGGATTAATTTTGCTGCATTAATCTAAATAAAATTAAAATCTAATATATTACATATTATATATAGATGCAAGGAAAAATCTTTCATTTTTTTATTTTGTGACAACTTAATATCGATTAGTGAGCATCCAGATGAACCTTAATTAATAGATAATAAGTATAAGACCTTATCCTTATAATTGTGGAAATCATAAAGATCAAATAGAAAGGGAAAAAAACTACCCGAACCTGTCATTAAAAATTAGGTCAAATTATCAAGTTTGTGGAATTACTTTTACAAACAAATAGATGAAAAGGCAGAGTCAAGCTAATTAGAAAACAGGAGTGTATGAAACCTGAACAAGCAAGATGGGACAGCGAAGGATTTGATCAGAAGCAGGAGAAGAATAAAGAAGGTCTCCAAAGCATGGAAATGGAGGTTGAAGATCATTGCCAAACTGTTGAAGAGTGACGTCAGCATCGGCCTCAATGAACATAACACCTTCTTCATTACAATCCACCATTAGTTTGTGATCTTCACCTTCCCTGATTCTTCCTGCAAATGGATAGTAAAACACAAGTGTTTGAGCCAATGCTTCCCTGATGACTTTGACTGGGTCCTTCCCTGCCATTGAAGCTTCAGAACGATAAAAATGAATGAACGGAGTTTGAATACGTATGAAATCTCTGCCATCTATGTCAGACAAAGGCTTGAGTTCACGAGGAGTAGGCTTCGCCGGCGATATAAGCTCAGGCTTCTGTCTTCTAACTGTGAAAACGAGATCAGAAGGAGATGGTTGTTCCATGGAGGAGATGATCGAAGAAAAGAAGAAAGAGAAACGATAACTGAGTGGTGTGTGTTCGCGCGCGCGCGCATATATATCTTGCAAGTTGTTTATGTTTCGTCTGGATGGAGCTTAAGTTTATAGGTACGAGTTAAATAAGACCAAAGCTAGTTTCGTAAGTAAGAAAATTATAAATTTAGAATATTCTTCTGGAATTTGAATATTAAATTATATTCCTTCTGATTCAAAATATAAGCAAAACATTAACAGAAGGATTTCGTTTTTTTTTTGCATAAGATAATATTTATTTTTGTCTGAATATTTAATGAATTTGTTCCTATTTTACTCCCATATATTCTCTTTCCTCTTTAATTCATTTATTACATCATTTACTTACTTTTTTCATTAATAAGGGTATATTTGGAAAAAAAATGCCTCTTATAATTATATAACGTCGTAAGTTGAGCTTTTTCTCGAACTGTAGGGACAATTAATTGCTAATTAAGAGTCATCCTTTTACACGTGATGCAATTACGATATTAATCATATCAAAATATATCAAATATTTTTTGATGTTTTATAATACTTAATAACTATTGTGATGTCATTAGACAATAAAGCATCATTTAAAACATAAAATCATTAACATTGCTTAAAAAAGTATAAAATAATCTCAACTCTGGCAATAGCAAATGAACAGTGTTCATTCAGTTGATGTTTTAATGGAAGCTTTCTCAAAGTTTTCTGAACCAACTGGTTTTTTACCACAAATCCTCAAAATCATCTCAGCTGCTCGGAGCCTTTTAGCGTCAAATTTTGAATCAGTGGAGGGACCTTTATTGTCTTTGAATTGGCCAATGCCATTCCACTTCCAGGTAGATATAGGATGTTTTCTTATCCCCTTTTTGTTTTTCTTTCTTTCTTTGGCTTTTCTTCTCAAAAGCAGGTTTTTTTCCCCCACGAACAAAAGCAGCTTCTTTTCAGTTGTCTTTTTTACTCATATTTATAAAATATTAGAGTATATTTGAGAAAGCCTTCTAACACAGCTATTAAATGATATCTGTTTTTGGGAAAATAATCTTCAAGTATTATTGGTAGTTTATTATATTATTCTTTCAACATCATCACAACTAATTGTTTATATTAGCTACTCCTTCCAATTCAAAATATAAGATAAACTTTATCTATTTACGTTTATTAAAAAATTAATTAAAATCATTTTAAAACAATTTGCAGTGTTTAAATAGCTAGACCGGACCGAATGATCCGAGCGGCTAAACCGCTGATCGTACATTCCTTTGGCTCGGTATAAGTGGAAAACTCATTCCAACGGTTAAGCTGGATTTGCCTGGCATTGGGCCGCTATTAAGCAGTTAACCGTTAAAAAGCCAGGAACCAGAGTGGCTAAGTGAAAACCATCCAGCCATAACCCGTCCAAACTTCCACCTCCAAAGTCCACTTGTAACTTCCATCGAAGAAAATCCAATACCTCAAAATTGGTTTAGAAACGTTGATCACATATCCCCAATACCCATTCTTTTCTCTGTCATGGGTACGGAAAAGAGGAGGAGTAGAAGAAGAGCATAAAGAAGAGAAGGAAGAAGGGGAAAAGAAGAATGTCTCACGAGATTAACACTGATTATATCCAAAACTATCATATCAACAACAACAAAAATGTCTAACATGATAGATTGGAGAGGGGAAAAAAAATGATGAGCATCATCTTTTGCCGGTATGAAGTTCAAAGCATTGTGAAATGCTGGAGAAGAAGAAATTTTGACGGCAACATGCTTGAGCTTGAGAAGCTGAGAGTTTGAATACCCAGAAAGTTAAAAACTGAAAAGTAAAAGTTGATGTGGCGCTTCAGCAAATTGACATATTACTATCAGACTCTTTAATTTTTATTCTAAAAAGATACAAATTGCCCTAATTTTCATTCATCTCCACCGTCTATCAATTTAATCTTGTTTTCTACCATTTTTTTCAGCGGCCAACACGTTCCCAATACTGAACAGAGAAGACTTGTAATTATAGCATCTTGTGTGCTAGCCACTATGCATCAGGTGATGTAAAGCTAAGGAGCAAAATAATCCCTTATTTTTGAAATTTGAAATGCTTAATATGCGCAAATTATGAAATTAATTCTAATTTCAGATTAAAAAAATTGATTCTATAAGTGTCTATATATATATTCTACCATAATTTTTTTTATATTTGTATGCATATAATGTTATATTTAATTTAATTATTACATTACCGGTCCAACCAACGGTCTAACTAATCGACCATTTGAATCATAACCCGCAAGTCTTTTGGCTTTATGTCCGGTTTGGCTTATAAAATATTGTTATATATATATAGAGAGAGAGAGAGCAGTTAGTACATAATTCAACAAACACCACCTCAGGTCGAACACAAACCCATCCACTTGATAAGCCATGAACTTGATGATGACATATACTCTCCGTACTCTTTATAAGAGCCTAATAACCGAATTATGCAGTTTAAGATAACAATTAAAATTAGTTAAAAGTAATAAATAAGAAAAATGAACTTTTTTTTTGGGAAAACATGCCCTTATTTATGAGGGGCAAGTAAAAAAAATATATAAAAGAGAATGTAGTATATCAAGTTGCCAACCCTTTGATTAAAGTAATATATAAAATTAATTAGGAACAAAAATTGTAAAAACACATTAAATGTCTAAACAACCAAGATCTTATGAAAAGAAAGAACTAAAGCAGTTTAAATTTCATGCTACCAGAGGGAGTATGGTATGTTACCTATAAAACACAAACACCTGTCTTAAAATATAATTTGACTTCCAAACACTTTTAAAATGCAATTTGACCCCACCAAATTAAACATAATTTATATTAGAGTTTTTGTTGATTCTTGGATCTCCTGCGGGACACGATTAACTAAACAATCCAACTCTTTGGTAAATCTCTCCATGCATTCCAGTGGCAAGCAAATAGGCACCACCCTACCTGCCTCTCCTTTACTATTTTTATATCCAACGTAAGCAGTTAATCCTTGAAATGACTCGAGAGGAGTCTTTGCAATACCAGCATACACTGCTTTGCCCCACCCAAAATCAACATCTCTGAATCCAAGATAGCTCAAATCTGATGCCATACATGATCTTAATGTTCCACAAAATTTTGGTCGTTTCGTGGCTATCAAATCAGCCGTGGAGTGATAATACTCCCATTTACTTCAGCCTTCGCTTTCCTAACTAACTCCAAAGCATATCCTAATGGACTCTCAAAAAGCTTTCCAGCAGTTGAAATTGCAGTTGGACACACTGAAGCATTGCCATAATAACCTTTCGGTAATGGCGGGTTTAGTTTGGGTCCGAAACGTGCGTAACGATGAACATCATGCGAACATCTTTGTGTGGATCAAGTTGTAAAGCTTTTGTTCGACAACGCCAAAGGCAAGCCGTGACAACCTCAAATGAGGAGGATTGACGCAGGTGGTCGGGGAGTAATCTACGAAGGGAAGAGATCTCAGTAGGTCCGAAGAAGAAAGATCGAAGAATGGTGTTTGTGGATGGATTTGTGGTGTCGATCATTTCTTCATCATACTCATGAGTACAAGTAATACGTGGTGGGTCTCTCGCATTTAGAAGTTCTCTGTTCCACAATGGTTGAATCGAAGGTTCAGTTGCGCCATTAGCAAACTCAGCAACGGAGTTCATGACATAAACAATGATTCATGCGAAGACCAAAGATGAAACCACCACACTTGAGGCGTGTCACCTACAATTTGTGAAATATAAAGAAATAAGGTTAATAAAAGGTGAGACGTGTGTGGGACTTGGGGTGTCACCTGCCCCCTCTGCTATTTAGAAAATAGTGTGTGCAAAACCTGAATAAGCAAGATGGGACAGTGAAGGATTTCATCAGAACCAGGAGGGGAGTAACGAAGATCTTGGAAGCATGGAAATGGAGGTTGAAGATCATCACCGAACTGTTGAAGTGTGACATCAGCATCAGCTTCAATGAACATAACACCTTCTTCATTACAATCCACCATAAGTTTTTGATCATCTTTGAGCCAATGCATCTCTGATGACTTTGACTGGGTCCTTCCCTGCCATGGAAGCTTCAGAAAGATAAAAGTGTATAAATGGAATTTGGATGCGTAAAAATTGTTGCTCATCTAAGTCAGACAAAGGCTTGATCTCATGAGGAGTAGCCTTTGCCAGCGATATAATCTCCGGCTTCCGCCTTCTCACTGCTAAAACGAGATCAGAAGGAGATGGTTGTGCTGCCATGGAGAAGATGAAGAACAGAAAGAGAAATAATTGCAATTGCTTTTGTGTTTCCTCTGGACGGAGCTTAAATTTATAAGTACAAGGGAATCACTGTTAAAAATGACAAAGGAAGGTGAATCACTACCAAAAGAAATTGACTTTAGTTACTGCTGAAAATCAAAAAGTTACCGTTGAAGACAGCCAAATCATGCCATAGCTATTGTCGCTGAAACTTAACAACAGTGACAAAAAGAGTCATTACTGAAAGATGTTTTCAGTGGCAACATGTTGAGTCACCGCTTAAAGCTTCTTTCCTTGGTGACATTAGAAATCGAGGCTAAAAGTCTTACTTTTGAAAATTGACCTTCAACGATGACTCTAAAAAGTTTGCTGCTGGCAACATTTTGTGTCGCTATTGAAAACCATCACTAAAAGTCTTTTTTCTTTTTTTTTAATGATAATACATTCATGTTAAAAATTTAATTTAATAATATCATTTATAAATATGATAAAAAGTACTGTCTTTATTTACCTTGTATAAATGGGACCAAAGGAGTATAAAGAAAGAATTTTCAATTTTTCCCGTTAAAAATTAAAAAGTTTATTTACAAATTTTTAATATATTAATATAAAATTATAAAACTTGAACGTGAACTTCCTAAAAAATGAATACTAGCTCAAATCTTAATTATAAGACTTTATTTGTAATCTACAAATAAGGTTTTATAATTAAAACAGAAGGTAATATATTACTTAGTTT